TATCTTATATATAATAACCTATGCAGCTTATCTTTCACATGTCTTACATATTTCCATTTTGAATTTTAAGTCAAAAGAAGGGAAAATAATATATTACTATTACATTTGTAAAATACATTACATATTTGGATTACAGAACATGGAACAAACTATGACAATTGAAAGTCGCCCCGTACTTTATCATAAGATACAACATATTTTGGTTGATTTTAGAAAAATAAATGATACTGACCGGTGATCGAAAAGCAAAGACGGTGTTATATATTCCTAAATATCAATTATATTAACTCATAATTATTAATAAAAATGTTTTTACTGGCTTATCGTATTGCAATAATTGCTGTTGTTCCTGATATATGATATACTTTCCATTTGTAACTTATTATAATCTCAATCAATTTAGGTCATTTTTTACAATGCTTCTAAGTTTTAAATTTTTTTTTAAAGTTTTTAAATCCTATAAAACGCATATGAAACACAAACAATTACAAGAAAACTTCGGATGAGAACCTTGAACACAATGCATAGATTCCTGACTTATCAAATTTTTATTATTAGATTAGTGGATATAATAACAAGTTCACCACAACCTATTTGTTAACAACAGAGTGTGGTTAAATCTATTGTTATTCAAATAAATGGTCAGAGTAAGGATCTATTAGTAGTAAGAATACACAGAACGAAAACGGTATTTCGGTCTACTCAAAGCTAAAATAACTGTGCACGTGAACAAATAGTAATTTAATGCTTGGAGTTGAAGACTAGATTTATATCAACATAGCTAATTAATAGAAGTAACAGTAAACAGTTCATTTCTTATATACTTACTATTATGGCTTTACAAAATGTCTACTTGTTGGCACTTATTCGGATTTGGTTCACAGCATTTACTGTTAACTAAATATATTTCAAACAATAGCAATTACGAGAACCTTTTAAAATTTAAAGTTTTTCTGTTAAGCTAGGGATCTTAAATTGCATTCGTGCAATGTTGTTTTAACTTTGTTGTCATAGGAAATATAAAATTATTTTTTAACAGGGACACGTGGGAAATTAAGTTGATATCTAAAACTGTAAACGTAAAATAGTAGTCTCAACTATAAAAGTTTTTAAATTTAATACCTTATTTATGGATTAAAATGCCTTGATGAAAAACTAATATCAAAATTTTATTCTTTTCGCAGCTGGATTTATAACTGTTTTCTATCGCCCCCAGAAAACACAACAATTGAGAAGGATGTATACAATTATAATGGAATAAACTCAACAGTTACTTACCTACTCATGACTCAACCTAAACATCAAGTTCACCTGTTGAACAAACAAGTATTAGGTCTGGAATTTCAGGGCTAAGAAAAGAGAAAATAGGAATCCGTAAAGAAAGTCCAATACGGCAAAATTGAAGAAACTAAGTATCACAATCGAAACTATTTCCTATACTCTCAATTAGAGGTAGAAACAACAGAAATTCTCATTTAGTGAAATTAATTTACTTGTATAGCAAACATAAACATTACAGTCTTATTCAGTTTCGTTAACATTAAGGAATGGATATGTAAACATGAGACATATCATGTAATGAAATATATTTTCACAATAATTTTCTCTGAAAAGAAATTACCAGGACGCAAACTATATCCCTGCTTGGATCAAATAACTATCGGTGAATACGAAGCTATGACCGCAATTGTTTAAAAATACAGAGAAGACGTGTGTACTATTAAAATCACTTAGACACTTTCGGGATAAAACTCTGCAATTCATGATAAGACAAGAAAAACGCATTCCGCTAGAAAGGACTGCTGTTTATACTGTGATCACAAAAACGTTTTGTTTGATTTTGTAAGAAAATTTATTTTTGTTTACTGATTTTATTATACCCCTAGACGAACGGTGTAATTCTAGGATTATTGGCCGTCAGGGTCAGGAATTAGGATGTAAATTTTAGGTGAAATACTAGAAATTTGTATTTTATAAACACATCTACAGATGTTCCTAAATTCAAAATTTCACCGTAATGATTCTCGTGTTTATAAGTTGTTGCATTCTGTTTAAGACGGTGCTTGTAATTTGCACATTCAAGTTCCGTCCATTAACAGGCTCGATCATACAGAGCCTTCATTTTCAATTTTGTCGTTTTGGGTGTCCTTTAGCTATTTCTTGTTTCTCCATTTAAAGACACTAGTATGTCCCCATTTTATTTGCTTTCACAATGACATATTTACAAACTTCTGCACATTTTATGATACTCAAATTTGCATGCAGTGACACTCGTTTCATGAGATTGACGCTTTTGTTCGTAGGTATACATTTATCAAAACATAGCATGCACTCTATAATGTAAGGAAAGGTAATTTAGAGTTAAATCTTTATAAAAAGCAGCTTGGATATACATATCCAGTGAACAGACTGAACATCACTTTCTTTCCATAATTCTTAACGAAACAGACTTCCAGTACCGTCCATGAACAGGCTCAATCAAACCGAGCCTGCAACATTTTCAATTGTGTCGTGTTGGGCTTTCTTTAGGGATTCTGTATTTCTCTATTTTATAAACAACACAAGTTCCATGAAAATACAATATCAACGACCAATGCCGTTTCCAGAAGAATAACACTAATCACTTTTACAAAAATTCGGAAGAAAAATCCAGTTCAAGGTTAAATGTAAAAAAGCGGTAATACGTTGAAACAACAAGGAATTGTGGAACAAGAAGAACATTATATATGATGTTTAACTTTAGAAGATTTGAATTTTTACCGTCAAACAAAAACCCGATGAGACATAATAATTTACAGTTTAAATCAAACTGAAATACTGCATTTAATTAATTATTTAAATCAATAGATATGCTGCAATTGTAAGCACTCTTACAAAATACACATGCAAAAGCGATTCCTTTGAATCATTAAATACAGCAAAATTCTATGAAAATTGCAGACTCGGGTTTGTCTGAGTCTGTACACGACGGGGAGAGAAAATCGCTAATGTTGTAAGAATAGATAGTATTATTATTGAGAGCCTGTTAAAGTTATGATTTTAATTAAAAAAATTTAATTATATCAAAGGAATCTAAACAAGATTAAATTCTAATTACATTGAAGAACATTTTATCCTAGTACCGTGTCTGACACAACCTCTCTTAAAACATTACTCAAGAACTCAACCAAATCTATCATAATTAAGATAATGATCTGAATGTATGGAAAAAAAGTCTCCTCACAATTTCCAAGATAATAGATAAAAATATAGGACATGACTAATGAATGTAAAATGACAAAATACAATACCCTTCTCCCCTTTCTGCGCATCTGCCAAGATCTAATTGTTCATTTAATGTTCCTGAAAGGAAAAAGAAATATGTTGCTCTATTGCAAAATGATTGATATAAACGTCTCTAATGGACAGATGCCTTATTGGTTAGAATATTCATCGAGTGTTTTCATAGAAATATATTCATCTCTAAGGTCAAACAGTTGGAAAACAATTAATATAATTTAGATTGATCTATTTCATTTTGTTTCAAAACGCCGAACTTAATAATAATAAGATAATGCTTAGAAAATACTTTAATAGAAACGATGATGTAATTATTATGACAACAAATTCTATTACAACTATTTACGTTTGTCTTGATAAATGGAATGCATTACGTTATTGTCTAAATTTTTAGAACATTAAATTTTGTATTATTGTTAAAAACTTTGAGTTTATGTTAACCTTATCAATTGACTTCTTTTGCAGTTTTAATTTTTATAAATTAAAAATATTATTAAGTGGAATTGAATTAATTGTATCAACATTTCGGTAATTACTGATAAGTCTTAATGTACACCCTTTCTAGCTCTTTGACGGGGGTTTTTGTAACTTTTTAACTACAAAGTAATACAGCCTTTTAACAAACGACGAAAAAGTTAAAGAAATGAGAGAAATATTTTAACTATCTGTTTTAAATCGAATAGGACATTATGGCGTTTTTACGAATTTGTATAGGAATATTTGATAATGATTTGAACACATTAATGGTTTAATTATTTTTCCTTCATTTCAGTTTGTTCTCCTTGTTTTACTTGATCCTTGCCGTTGTGAGCACGAATAGCATCAGGAGCTTTGTATTTTATCAAGTGGGGAAGCTAGCTTACTAACTCAAAAAAAACAGGGGTCCTTCTCAGGTGCCCGCCAGTGCCTGAAATAACGCACGAAAAGGGCATTTGAAGTCTTCCTCGACCAGTAAACTTTAGCTTGAATGTCACTATATGAGATTTTAAAATCAAACAAACAAATAAAAGTTTGTTTCTTGTAACCGAGCTGTCAATGTTAACTGTAACGTAATTGCATAAATAACTTAGATACATGTAGGATATTAATGTGTCAAGTTGTCTTGCCACACGTGTTACATTTCCATCCTTTAATGTTCTTTCTGGATAAAGATTATTGGTAATATAAATATCAAAACTGGTTAACTGCTATAACACTATTTGAACTTAAATCAATTTTTATGATGATTAATAACATAGCTGAAATTAAAAAAAAACAGCTGCTCTAGTGTGCTTAATCATGAATTTGAACCAGACAGCAGTTTAACAAGACGTAATATACAAATATCTTATATTTTATATCAAACGTATGTAAGCATATTAAGTCATCGCCGGCAGTTTTTGAAAATTTCATTGATTTTCATCTTTGGGGTATGAGACTATATATATTGATTTCGAGTATTTCAATATTTATATTGTAGTATGAATTAAAACTATTCTTTTAATCTAAATTACTATGAAATCAATATAAATGTTTTATTAGGTTAGTGTGGGGTATAGATATAAGCTTCGCGTTGTGTCTTGTTTCTATCTTTTTAATATCTCAATAATATATACAAGTAAAGCGGTAGTGACGTTGGTATATACGTTGACGTCATCTTGATTCCCGCCGTCAATACGTCGTTGTTGTTCCCGCCTACACATAGCGTACGTCTTCCCGACATTCTCCCGGCCACGAAATGATTACGATGTAAAAATGATTTCTAATGGGTACAGTTTCACAATAGATCTCGAAGTGACAAGTCCATTACTCGTGCGTAAAATTGCTGCTCGTGTGAGGCCATCATTACCGTAAATTAACTGCTGGATTACGCCTAGTTTCCACTGCGTTCTTGGTGATTCATCATAAATCTGTACAACGTCGCCAACCTGAACTGTCTGAGTGTTGTTTCCTGTTGTTTTGTGGTACTGACGCAGTGACGTAAGATATTCGTGACGCCATCGTAAACGATAATGACTGATAAGTTGTGCCTGCATTCTTGCCCTTTTTGTTACGTCAGACATTGTAACATTCTGTGGTTCTGGTGTATTGCCATCATATGGAAGGGATGTAATACGACGTCCATAAAGCAGGTGCGCCGGTGTTAATGGGTCCGGGTCTCCTATATCGGAAGTGACGTAAGTAAGCGGTCTGTCGTTCATTATACCCTCAATCTCTGTTACTATTGTCTGGAGGCTCTCGTAACTAATAAATGAACGACCTAAAACTTTCTTGATGGTGGTTTTTGTTAGTCCAATAAGTCGCTCCCACCAACCGCCAAACCATGGTGCTCGCTTAGGTATGAATCTCCATTCAGTACCATGGCTGTGTAGAGCGTCATTAACTGCCGTTGATCTCATGAGTTGTTGAATGGTATTTGCTGCTGCATTGAATGTTGTTGCGTTGTCTGATATCATTATATGGGGTAGGGATTTTCGACTTGTAAATCTTCTAAACGCTTGGATGAAAGTTTCTTCTGATAAATCTGGTACCAGCTCGAGATGGACAGCTCTTGTTGAAGCGCACGTAAATAGACAAATATAAGCCTTATGCTCAATTCTAGAATTGCTTCGTACATACAGTGCTCCCGAGAAATCAACCCCGGTGACTGTAAATGGAGATGTATCTTGTACTCTAATTTTTGGTAGGGGTGGTGGATCTGGTGCTGTATATGCTTTGCCAGTTAACATTCGAATTGAACGCATTTCCGGAGAAGGCTTTGTATATACTGACGGATAGATGATATCCAGTATCTCTGTCGTAAATGTGTGATTAATGCACTTGCGCCTGTGTGAAGTTGGTTCTCCTGTGCGTCTAAAACTACTAACCGTGTGAAAGGATGTTTTCAATAATGTCTCAATAATATATACAAGTAAAGCGGTAGTGACGTTGGTATATACGTTGACGTCATCTTGATTCCCGCCGTCAATACGTCGTTGTTGTTCCCGCCTACACATAGCGTACGTCTTCCCGACAGTTAGAAAGACTTATGCATAATAAATACGATATTATATTAACTCTGAATGTCCAAAGGCATAAACGAATGTATTTCCGTTTTAAAAACATACGCAATTTATCGTCCATAATCTTGCATATTTTCATTATGAATTTAAAGACAAAAATAATATATTACTACAACATTTGTTAAATACATCATATATTTAGACTGCAATTTTGCAGATCTGAACAGGAAACAAAATAGGACATTTGAACGTCGCCCCGCACTTCATCATAAGATCCTTTGGTTGTTTTTTTAAATAATTAATGATAAAACCAGTGATCGAAATGCAAAGGCGGTGTAAAGTTCATGAATATCTATAACATCAACTCGTAAGTATTAATACGAAGATGTTTCTCTCAAAATCTCTTCATAAGCGCTCAATATAAGCTCCCGTGGATGCTATGATCGACTCACATCTTTTCAGAAAATGCCAAACTCCCGTTGCTAGGCAACCATTGTTGATGTCCCTAACGACCGCGTTCACGGCGACATTTAGTTCATATTAATCGTCATATTGGACACCTCGTTATAATGTTTTAGCTGAGTTATCCTATAGCACTATTGCTGTTGCTCTTACTAGATCTCCTAACCAGCACAATATGATTATTTTTTCACAAACGAATATTTTGTAAATTACTATATTTGTTTTAATATGACTTCTCTCTGTCAATTTAGGTCAATTTATTTTCAGTAAGTATCTAAATCCTACAAATAAATGACAAGCAATTACCAGAAAAAAATGTCTCATTGTGATTCCTTTTTTATTTAGGAAGCCTTAAGAATTCCATAATACTGCTAATGATTAACATATAATATCATTTTTTGCTGTTAAGGACGTGGATATAACGGATCTAAAAATATGTAAGACAAAGGAAATACATATATACTTTGTAACGGTAATTAAGTACTCAGAAGTGCGAAAATACTTAATAATGAATGGTTTCTATTTTGATTGGTTTTCTCCGTTAAAAGTGATCAATTCTGGAAAAAAAAACATGCAAAAAACTTAAGATATATGAACAATGAAAATAAAAGTTCTAAATTTAGCACAATTAGTAATGTAATGTAACACATACAGTGTCTTGAACATTTAAATTATATAAATTTATTTGATTTTATAAGACTTAACGTGTAAGCTATATCTTTACTACATAAGTCTTAAAAATAGTGTTCTGATCATAAAAAGAATAACTACTCCAAAATGTCTGCATCAAGGAAATTTCGTAGGAAATTTCGTTATAGAATGTTCTGATTTGTTTACGAAAAATATTCATGTGCATATTTTATACATATTTATTTCAGATGATTGTGTTAAAAGCTATAAGCTTATTGAAACACTCTTGAATCCGTCCCTGGAACCAATGAATGTAAAGTTTCTTGCTAAAGGAAACAACCGCTTGCCCCTGACCCATGACAGGGTTTGAACCCACACAGTCAGTAATGCTTAGATTACTCGGCCACACCGCCACTTCATGTGTGTTAAGACACAGAAGCATTATCCGTTATAACTCTTTCGAGAATCTAACAAATGACTATGGAAACAACATATTTTTATTGTTGTTAACGTTAAAAATTTTAACATTCATAAAGATGCTTCATTTGATATAGCCGTATACCATATTAGTCAATACAAGGAACACTGTTCAACAAGAAAAGAACTACAGTAACGTAAGTATTAGACAGTATTTAGTTACAACTTAATGTGTTTAATCAATTGGTAAATGATAATAACTTATTAAATGTAATTAAACGTTTTGAATAATAAACAAATCAAAATATAAGAGAAAGAAAGATGTTGCACGAAAATATATTTAAATACAAACGTTTCCTTATTTGAGGCATGGTTTACTTGTAATAAAAATACAATTTTTGATTTAATTTTGTACTCAAACGAATGTTTTAAAAGCGTAATTTAGCAAATAATATCAATCTTGTTCGTACTCATAATTTGTTTATTTATTTCATAAATGTTTTTATAAAATACTTACAAATGAAATATTGAGAAATACTGATGAAATAAAAAGCATACTTTCATCTTCCGTATTTTCACTGCAAAAAATATTTTCCGATACAGTGAAACATATTTTTCCGTATTTTTCACTAGTGTCTTGTCGGACAATACACAAAACTTATTTATTAAGGGAAAGTCTTTCAAATCAAAGGTCAGAAAAGAAAATCTATTAATACGGGATTTTTTTTTATCTCATGGAAGAAAAATTATCATATTTCACTTGTGGCTACAGCTTCTCGTGAAATATTTATTTTCATACCACTCAATAAAAATTAATCCCATATTTATAGAAAACACTTGAATATTCTCTATTTGTTCATGTGTATTTATCAAATATGCCACGGCGCGGGAGTTAATTAAAGCCTTTAATAACGAAAATACACACGTGTTATATTCACTTCGTTATTGAGACGAATGATAACTTTATTCCTTTATTCACATGTACTGTCAACAAAATAAACAATCATGGTAGGAAGCCTGCCACCATCGACGGCGATCGAGCTGTCACAAAAACCTGATAGAAAAACTAATCATTAATTCCAAATCAGATCATACCATATGCCTATATGAAACTACACGACATCCTTATGCATTCCCAAGGATAGAATTTTAGCCTCTTGCCTGTTCAATCAAATCTTTAGTTAACACTGAGTATGCCCATATTTTTCTACCTATATTTTGCATTAATCAAGTAAGGGTGTCTCAAGTTTGAGTATAATTTTGTCAAAATATAATTATTTATCATTGAAGTTTTACATAAAACGATAGACTGTTTTTTAGATTATGCTTAGTTTACAAGTTCAATAATTACACAATTAAAATAAAATTATTATAACACAAAAAGTTGCACTATACTTTATTTTCATTTACCTTTTACTCCATAACTCACTGACGTTCGATTATTATTAAAGGGGTCAAGTACGACTTCTCATTAATATTGCGAGATAGAAAATATCTTACATACGTGTTTTTTCATATTGAATACATGAGCTTAAATATTTAGAGGATATTTGTTTCTTTGTGTGTAAGATGTAATTTTATTTCATCGAGTGAAGTTTAAAAACAGTATTCTCACTTGTGCTTCACCACTCGTGAGAATACTGTTTTTTAAAGCTCACTCGATGAAATAAAATTCAAAAGATGAAAATAAATGCAATTTTCAAAACCTGTCGGCGATGACCTAATATGCTTTGTAACACCGCAAAACGTCCGTACCGCAAAACGTACGCGTGTGGACGTTTTGCGGCGCATATCGTACACAGGTGGACGTTTTGCGGTGCATATCGTATTTGGTACGTTTTGCGGCGAGAGGGTGCCTTTGCGTCGCATATCGTCCATATTTTGTGTATTAAGATACATTCATTATAAACGTTACTTTTATTGGTTCTGTCACTTTCATATTTTTCAGGTAAGGATATGATGAAATAAACATTAAAGTGCAATATTTTTGTGTTCCTACATAATTCTGACTTTTTTATTTAAAAAAAAAAATATGCTTAAGCCAAGGATGTTTTTCGAATAGATTTTTTTATGGAATGGAATCAAGCAGCAGCAGCAGCAGCAGCAGCAGCAGATATATAAAAACGGTGATATTGAAATAAATGTAATCTTATAGATATACAGAAAAGGACGGCTATACGGACGGACGAACCGGGGATTTGAGGGAGTGAATGACAAAAATATTAAAATTAAGCTTTGCTTTTGACAATAGCTTTTCATATAATTGCATCAAGAAGTGGGGAATGATTTTGAGTGTTCTTGTTAACTATGGAGGTTTGGTTCTACCGTTCATTTTTACGGGGGATGGAGGCTTTTGACAGCGTAGTCATATTTGAGCGAGAGAGCTATATTGTTATGGAGATAGGGCCTTTAAGTCGCCTAGTCATAATTGAGCAAGAGAGTTTTGTCGGGGAAGGGGTGGGGATGGGGTGCTTTTAGTCTCCTAGTCATATTTAAGAGAGAGAGAGAGAGAGAGAGAGAGAGGGGGGGGGGGAGAGAGAGAGAGAGAGAGAGAGAGAGGGGGAGAGAGAGAGAGAGAGAGAGCTTTTGTCGAGGAAGGGTGATTTTAGTCGCCTTGTCATATCTGAGTTAGAGAGCTATTGATGTAATGGCGTAAAACCTGGCAATAACCCACAAAACATCTTAAATTTTTTAACTGCGTAATTGCTTTTTTTTTTAAAGAAAACGTTCAGTATCAGGTATACGAACTAACGTGCGGCTTTTATAAAATCACATCACCCTTAAAGATCAAGAAATGATGAAAATTACGTAGCAAACGTTGTCTAACAATCTACACAAAATAAACAGTAATCGGTGAAAAATAAACAGTAATCGGTGAAAAATAAACAGTAATCGGTGAAAAATAAACCCTTATAGTACGATGATGAAAACGCGACAGTACGATACTACGATGATGAAAACGCGATAAACTATCGTGTTTTCACCATCGTACTGTCGCGTTTTCACCATCGTAGTTTCGTGATTTCGTGTTTTCATCATCGTGCTGTCGTGTTTTCATCATCGTACTATCGCGTTTTTACCATCGTACTATCGCGTTTTCATCATCGTACTTTCATCATCGTACTATCGCGTTTTCATCATCGTACTGTCGTGTTTTCATCATCGTACTATCGCATTTTCATCATCGTACTATCGCGTTTTCACCATCGTAGATTCGTGATTTCGTGTTTTCACCATAGTACTATCGACTATCGCGTTTCAGATAAACACATTCATAGGCAATGGCCCTAACGGCATTCCGGAATGCCGTTTTGGCCATCGCGTATGAATGGTTTGATCTGAAACGCGATAGTCGATAGTACGATGGTGAAAACGCGAAATCACGAAACTACGATGGTGAAAACGCGACAGTACGATGGTGAAAACACGATAGTTTATCGCGTTTTCATCATCGTAGTATCGTACTGTCGCGTTTTCATCATCGT